TATGGAGAAACTAGTCGTATGCATTGCTCAGGTGTGATTTTGGCCCATTCTTCCACACAAACAGTCTTCAAATCTTGAAGGTTCTGTGGGCCTCTTCTATGAACTCTGATCTGTAGTTCTTTCCAAATATTTTCTATTGGATTCAAGCCAGGTGATTGGCTGGGCCATTCTAGCAGCTTTGTTTTATTTTTCTGAAACCAATTGAGAGTTTCCTTGGCTGTGTGTTTGGGATCATTGTCTTGCTGAAATGTCCACCCTTGATTTATCTTCATCATCCTGGTAGATGGCAGCAGATTTTTATCAAGAATGTCTCGGTACATTTTTCCATTCATCCTTCCTTCAATTATATGAATTTTGCCAGTGCCACACCATGATGTTTTTAGGGTGATGTGCAGTGCCATTTGACCTCCAAACATGGTGTGTATTATGGCATCCAAAGAGTTTAATTTTGGTCTCATCGGACCAGACTATATTCTCCCAGTATTTCACAGGCTTGTCTAAATGTGGTGCAGCAAACTTTAAACAAGCTTCAACATGCTTTTTCTTCAGCAATGGAGTCTTGCGTGGTGTATACAGGCCATGGCGGTTGAGTGCATTACTAATAGGGTTAGTTCACCCAAAAATGAAAATTAGTTTGTGTATTACTCACCCTCGAGGCATCCTAGGTGTATATAACTTTCTTCTTTCAGACGAATCCAGTTGGAGTTATATTAAAAATTGTCCTGGCTATTCCAATCTCTATCATTGCAGTCAGCGGGTGTTGCAGTTGAACAGTCCACAAGTCATCAAATAAAGCGCGCGCATCCATAATAAAACGTGCCACATACGGCTCTGGGGGATGAATAAAGGCCCCCTGTAGCGAATCCATGTGTTTTTGTAAGAAAAATATCCATATTTCAAATGTAATAAACACTTTTCTCTCACTTCTGTTATCGGTCATACACGGAAGCCGTGCCGGCGGATGACGTAGTACGTTGGCATTGCATGATTAGTGATGAATCTAAAGTATGGAAACTTTGCTTCCTTTGCTCCTATAAACAAACTCGCGAGACTAGCATACCTCAGAGGCACGCGCTGCGCATACGTGCTGCATCTTCCGCCGGAACTGCTTCAGTGTATGACAGTCAGCAGAAGTGAGAGAAAAGTGTTTATTACGTTTGAAATATGGATATTTTTCTTACAAAAACACATGGATTCGCTACAGGGGGCCTTTATTCATCCCCCGGAGCCATCTGCAGCACTTTTTATTATGAATGCGCAAGCTTTATTTGACGACTTGTGGACTGTTCAACTGCAACACCTGCTGACTGCAATGATAGAGCTTGGAATAGCCAAGACAATTTTTAATTTTTAAACTCCGACTGGATTCGTCTGAAAGAAGAAAGTCATATACACCTAGGATGCCTCAAGCGTGAGTAAAACACAAGCTAATTTTCATTTTTGGGTGAACTAACCCTTTAATGTTTTCTTTGAAACAATTGTACCTGCTAATTCCAGGTCTTTTTGAAGATCTCCACAAGTGGTCCTTGGCTCTTAGAAAACTCTTCTGATCATTTTTTTCACTGCTCTGTCAGAAATCTTGCGAGGAGCACCTGGTCGTGGCCTGTTTATGGTGAAATTATGTTCTTTCCACTTCCGGATTATGGCCCCAACAGTGCTCACTGGAACATTCAGAAGTGTAGAAATACTTCTGTAACCAATGCATCAGTATGTTTTGCAACTGTGAAGGCCTTGAGAGAGCTCTGTGCTTTTACCCATCATGAAATGTTTCTTGTGTGACACGTTGGTAATTAGACACCTTTTTATAGGCCATCAATTGGGACTAACCCAGCTAATATAAATTTCCACTGACTAGGGGCAGGATTGCTTTCTAATTACTGATAGATTTCTGCTGGTGTCTTGGCTTTCCATGCCTTTTTGCACCTCCCTTTCTTCATGTCATGTCATCAGCGTCTTTAGAAATATATTTACTGAGAAAAATGGTGATATGTTCAATACTTATTTTACCCGCTGTGTGTGTGTGTGTATATATATATATATATATATATATCAATTCTTCAGGAAATTGACATATGAAGTTGTCTTTGCAAAATAAATTGGGATAGAATAAAGAAATTTAACATTATAAATAATTAAAAAAATCTGTTCACCCTTAAGAACCTCATACTCTGATAACCAAGTATTCAAGGCATGATTTCAGTTCAGAAAGCAAATCAAACTTAAAACATCAGGTGGTATCTTTTTCTTCCATTTGAAATATAATATATTCTGTACATCAAAAACAAGGTCTTCTGTGTGATTTGCAATGGTAAGACTAGTAAGTCATGACCATCAGAGCTCTGATGGGTAAATAGTGTGTCTCCCTCTGCTGGTGAACGTACAACTGTGCAGTTAACAGTAAATCACTTCACAGCTATCTGTATGCACACAAGGTAACAAAAACATGTACAATGTATAAAAAAACATTATGCAATCAAAAATCAAGTGTGAAAAATAGTGGAAAATATCGCCACATGGCAGGTAAATTAGAAAAGCTTTAACCAAAAAAGCAGGCTGTAATCACTTAAAAATTGATGTTTTCTTTACTTGATTGCAGGTAAACAAGAAGTCTATTGTAACGGTTTAACCTTAGTAATCACAAACAGATGTTTACGGTACTCTGCAGTCAGAAAATAACAGCGTTTAAAAATGAAAAGAACACCGGAACACTGGTTGTCCAGGCAAATTAGAAGACCTGAAGTGACCATTGTATAGATGTGAGTATATAGTCAAATGGTATTATTACTGTAGTAAAGATGTCATCCTGTCATAGGCATCAATAAACATTTTTAAAACTCTCAATCTTCAAAGACAGTTTCCTCTTTTTCCCCAGGCAGATGTAATAATCTGAATGGACAATTATTCATATCTGACGGAGCGGTCAGCCTTTGATGGGCAGATGAAAGATTTTTTGGAAAAATGCTCATATTCAGCTTGTGCTCAGTGATTCATCTGAGAAAGCCTCTGTTATACCTTCTATATCTGACCTGTAAAACACAGCAGTTCAGTAAATACAAATATAAAACACACTTTATGGAGACATTTACTAGAGTGACATTCCATTGTATGAACATTGTATGTATGAACATAAAAAAGGTTCGCTAATTGTCAATTTATTGACAAACATGTTTGGATCATGTTCACATTTTTATTCATGATGATGATAATAATAAATCAAAGCTTCAAACTATCCGACCAGTGTAAAAAACAAAACTCAAATGTGAAGGAAAACCAAGAAAAATTTAATTTTTGATGAAAATAATCGTTGAAGTTATCAAAATACATAGACTGTATATATTATACTTACGTATACATTTATAGATCTATGTAAATAATCTTTTCAAAATATTAGGGCCATTACAACCATATATATTCTCAATGTAAAAAATACATCCATTAAAAAACGTGAGGAATAATTGAGTGTAGCAGCCTTCACTGGTTATACTGATTTTTAGGGAGTTTTTGAACAACCATCAGTTGTTTATTAAATTTATTAAAAAATACTCTTCAGTCAAAGCTGTAATGGACACACTTTCTAAACGGTTTGATTCGGTTACATTTTCTTTTGTATTATCTGTTTGTGAAATCATATCTGATAACAACTAATATCTTTAATTATACAGTTTTATACATCTTGGAAACGGTTGACTTGAGGCAAAGAAATTTGTACAGAATAGCCCTGTCTTCCACAACAATTTATCCGACACTACAATAAGAAGTGAAATATAGTCATCTGCATGAATTCTTTATAAGAGAATCACATTTCTTAGTCGGTGTCTGATGTGTGTACAACAGAATCGAGATAAACGCTTTATAGAACCCAAATAAAACATAGAAAAGACTAGAAAGGAAACTAAATAGAAACCGTACCGTCAGCATTAGCAAAACTAGAAATCAGAGTTTTGTCATTGGTATGTGTAAGTTGTTCCAGGGACCCATCCAGAGCTCCTCTTCATCAGACAGTGTTTGCTCACATGGAGACTCTACCGACTCTTTAATCTCCCCATTGTCCACTGAGGACTCCTGCTCACAGCACCCCTTATCCAGCTCCAAACGGGCTTTATCGATGTTGGATTTGGGCCCTATGCTGTTAGGGCCCATTACACTGCACTCTTTGGAGTTAAGGTTGTGATCAGTAACATAGGAATGGGCAGTGGTGGTGCTGATAGTAGGCCCATTGTCTTCTGTTCCATTTAAAGGTAAATGCTCTTCATGTGTGACACCTAGCTTGTCCAGTTTTTTAAACTGTTTACCTAATCGTGTTGGTGAGCCCAGTTTTAAGTTGTTGGGGTAAGGGGGCCTTCGTGTTCGGATGATGGTACCATTTTGGGCAAGGTATACCGATCCGTTGATGTTACTGTGGCTGCTGATGTTGGGTATGCGATTGCGCTGGACGTCCGGTCCACTGTCTTCTCCTGTTGAAGTCGTGTCATGCTCTCGGTCCAAAACCAATTTAATTCGCTTCTTTTTGCCAGCCTGGAGATCAGAGAGAAGAATTATTAACATAAATCAGCTATCAAAGAAATACTCTCCACTAATTGGGAATGGTAGATACCAGGGGCCATATTCACAAATAATTTCATCTTATCACCAAGAGTCCTGCTAAGAGTTCCTAGCTATGAGTTTCTTAACATTTATTAGCTTTAAGAATATTTGGCGAATATGGCCCCAGCCGTGTAAAATTGCAATCATAAACTGAATCTTGCGTGCACCCCTAGTAAAGAAGAAGTGGTGTCAATATCATATTAAAGCACTCATAGGGATACTGTTTTTGGAAACGGAAACATGAGAAGATTCAAAGTACAAATAAACAATTTGAAGACACAGTTCAGGGTTGGTAATGTAGGTTCACTCAAGAGAATAAATTTGAGAAGCACACCAGAAAAAAAAAAATAAAAAATCACGGCATGCCATTTTCAGCACTTCCACGCAGTTGGAATGGTTCCGAAACACACCAGTATAAGAGAAAAGACAGGAATCAAGTGGGAATCACTTCACTCAAGTTAGTTAGGTCTTACTTGGTCCCCGTTTAGAAATCTGTAGAATCTCCAGTGTCGGAATCTGCATCTGTTACTTCCGTGGTACCTCCGGTTCCCGACTGCTGTGAGCGACTCCTAGAGCCGCTCTCAGATCCTGAGCCATTGCCGGAGGTTATGGCATCCTCATCCACCTCTGTGATTGGAGAGAGGCCTCCAAACGTCTCATCTGAACTCTGAACGCTGCTCTCTGTGGCATATGGTGTTCCTGCACTTTCTGAGATCACACTTGACCTCCGTGACATTGATCCATCACTTAACTCACTGGCCGACTCTCTGCTCTCTGCTGTTTCATCCTCCTCCTCCTTATCGTCGTCTTCTTCTTCAGAAGCCTCTTCGTCCTCCTCACTTTCCTCATCAATGGTGTCCTGGGAGGATCGGGTAATGATGCTCTTGCGAGACCGCCGGCTTCCTCCTGCTGATCTGGAGCTTGTGGAGCTTCTCTCACTGCCGGACATGGAAACGGCATCTGATCCAGCATCATCCGATGCAGCAGATCCGCTCATTTCTGTCCCAGATGCCTCTTCAGAGCCACTCGCTGACCCTATCTCACCACTGCTCTCCTCACCAGACACTGAAGCTTGTGATGACCTCATTGAAGACCGGGCTGAAGACCCCTTAGAGCTGCCACCTGACCCGCTGCCACTCGGAGTACCACTTGCACTTCCGGAAACACTCCCACTTCTGCTGCTTTGTGTTCCTGCACTCGAACCCTCCGAGGAACCCTCAGTACGGGATGATTTCATTGAGGAGCGAGCAGAAGGTGGCTCTGATCCTGATCCTGACTCTTCTGTTCCTTTAGACTCTTCATCTTCTTCAGATTCTTCCTCAGACTCCTTTTCTGTGGCAGAACTCTTCTCAGCACTAGACTCTTCCTCAGTTCCTGATTTCTCAGTCCCAGATCCAGACTCTTTTTCTGTTCCCGAGGTCTTTCCAGACCCTGATTCTTCTGCCGAGCCGGATTCCTCCTCTGAACCGGACTCTTTCTCGGTTTCAGATTCTTTCTCGGATGCTGACCCTGCATCGGAATCCTTTTCGGTTCCTGACTTCTCAGTCCCAGATTTGGATTTACTCTCTGCATCAGATTCATCTGGTTCTTCTGGCTCTGATTCAGAATCAACTGTGCTCTCATTGGCATCATCTCTGTCCAGATCGACTTTCAAATAATCCTTATCATCAGCAGAGCCTGCTACACTGCTCCTCTCAGACGATTCCTCCTCATCCGAGCCTTTCTTTCGGCTCTCTGCCTCTGATCCACTCCCGCTGGCTTCAGGCTCGCTGACACTGATGGACACTTTCGATTTTTTCTCTTCTCTCTCTGACTCTGCAGACTCGTCCTTCTCACTTGCAGAACTACGACTGATGCTGCCCTGTGATTTTCTTCTAACTTGCAGCTTGTTTGCTAGATTAATGCGTTTCAGGACTTTACCAAGTCGACTCCTGGCAGAGGACGTGCCATCAGTGGAAGCGACTGGGCTCGCCCCTCCCGTCAAGCTCTCTTGACTATCGATACGCCGTGCAGATGTCAGCTTGGCATAATCTTTGTCTTTCTTCCCTTTCCCAAACATCATCGGGAAGATCTTGGCCTTCTTCCATGGGGAGGTAGGTTCAGTTTTCTTCCCAGCAGCGAGCAAATTGCTGAGCTTCATGACGGACTTCAGCCTCTTTGCAGCTTTGGATTCTTCACCTTCAGCCTCTGCTGGCTCCTCAGCAGGAACCTCTGGCTCTACCTGTTCAATCTCATCCTCTGGTGGGAAATCCTGGAATCCCACTCGCTTTCCACGCCCACGACCTCTCCCTCGCCCACCTCGCCCTCTTGCCCGTCCCTGTTGTGACATAATTTCCTTTCAAATCAATCAAGGTTACTCATATTAAATGGCCAAACTCTATATTAAATGATTCTTGAAATTAAAGTGATATCCTATTGGTGATGGCAAGATTATGAACAAGAGAAACCATCCTTTCTGCAACATTTTCTTCAAGTTGCCTATGAATGAATGTGTAAGATTACCTCTGGTCCACCATAGTAATATCCTTCATCTTCCATGATGGCCTCTCCATACTCATCATACATAGGTGTAATCAGCCTCCTGCGGCTGCCGTAGGGTGGATAGGGATCATACCTGGATAAAATAATGGAAGTCATATAACATATAAACATACCTTAAAGTTATTGTGTGCAGAAGTATTAAAATTGAATTTGCTTATTGATGGATTTAACCCATCCCTTCAATCACATGCGTTCTTTCCAAAAAAGGCCTTTTTCAACAATTAAAAGTTTGTCTTGACACATGTTGCTTTTCTATTTTATTTTAAAACAAACCATGCACATTTATTTGAATTTAAATGTATTTTTTATTCTGCTTCCCATCCTTTGTGCTACCTCAATTCTGAGTATTGTGGGAGTGAGACCTCCAACAGGTTTGAAAATAGGTGCACTTATTGAAGATGGGAAAGGCAAAACAGATGCCTCATTACACTCGCAATCAACATCAGCCCATGCGTAGCTCCACCCACGCAGGACAAACAGCCCCTGTGATCCAGGGATTAAAGTCTAAACCCCCATTAAAGATTCCTAAGCTCTCTAAATAGCCCTGGATCTTCAGCAGGCCGGGTCTCTCTGATAGCAGGTGCAGTTCAGCCTGACAGATGTGCAACATTTATCTTCCCCACTCTCTCCCTTGATGTCTGCGGAATCAAAGCCATCCTTTTTTCTCAAAGGCCTTGAGTATGGACAAAAAACCTTGACATTCAAATTAATCGGATGAAAGTTTGAGCGAATTCTCAAGAAAACGATTGTGTTTTCTGCATAAAATTGATATTAGAAATATTATTGACACAATTTAATCAATCTTTGGAGCAAATCCTTTAAATGTCATCCTTCTAGAAGATACATTCCCTAAGATGTAAACTTACCTAGTGCTAAGATTAATAGCTAGATGAACAGGTGTTTTGCATCATATTGTGTACTTTAGTATGACTGGAATTCTGGATTGACTGGTCTGCATCAAGGTCTGGAACTATCCATTTTAAAATGTTAAATAAGACCTTAAGAAGTCTGTCATCAGCGGTTTTTATGTCTTGATCTCGATGTTAAAGCACATCATCTGTTCTGTGGTGCTCACAGCTAACGCTCAGAGCACTACAGAGGCCTTTAAGACCATCTGCTGCTCCTCTCGCTACAAAAATGGAATGACTCTACCGAACGTAATAGAGGATGCCATTACACTTGACTTGAGTCTGATCTCTGAAAGTCCTACTAGCAAACATGCGGCTCACGTCTTAATGAATCCACTGAGCTTAGCTAAAGATGGCTGTGTGGAGGTGAGGGCACATTAATCTCATCAAAGCTTCCAGCATCTCCTCAGATGGGCTGACGTTAAACCATGCAGTTCAACATTTGCAAGAGCATCTGTTCCAATAGTAAAGCTGTTCCGATGGTACATTACGTGTCAATTTGAGAGTGTTTACAGCTCTTTCTCTCGCTTCTGCTGTCTCCTTCTACTTGCACACACAAGATGCTCAATTAGTGTATTGTACTCACTACAGGCATCTTTTAGCCTGAAATCACACGTCTTTAATTTGAGAGCCTCTGTTTCTCTGGTTGGATTTTTTTTTAAATTGGGGGCTCAGGTGTCTTGGCATCATCAAAACGTAGTCAAAAAAAAAAAAAGTAGAGAAATACTGAAGAAGTGATCAAGGATAAGGTGATTGAAATCCAAAGGACATGGGATACAGACAGAGAGAAAGAGTGAAAGACATTACATCCTTCACCTTCAAGTGAGGATGCAAAAATATCTGAAATACACAAACTCAGTCTGGAACAAAGACACACTAGCCTTGTGTATACTCTGAAACTCACCCTTGATCGTAGCTATAGTAGTCTTGGTTATAGTAATCCTGTCCAGGGTCGATACCAGATTCCATGGAGAGAGCCTAAAATACAAACATAAAGGCAGATGTCAGAATTCATCTTCACACAGGCTACTAAAATTAGTTAGGGTTTGGTGCACAATTGATACAGTCAATAACTTTTCTGGCACACTGTGTGCTTGTTCACCCATTACTGTAACTTAATTTAAACTGGGAATGCAAATGAACATCTAGACTACCGTACAAAAGTTTGGGGTCTGAAGGATTTTCAATGATTTTATAAAGAGACCTTTTATGCTCAACAGGGCTGATCGTCTATTTTATTAAAAAATACAATAAAAACATATATTGAAAAATATAGTTGAAATTTCAAAATGACAGTTTTCTATTTTAATATATTTAAAAATGTACTGATAAAGCTTCATTACTTCAGTCTTCAGTGTCACATGATCCTTCAGAAATCATTTTAATATGCTGATTTGGTGCTCAAGAAACATTTATTATTAT